ACAATGGAATATTACTCAGCCATAAGAAGAAATGAAATACTGCCATTTGCGACAACCCGGATGAACTTGAGATAATCATGCTAAGTGAAATAAGCCAGAGAAAGTTGAAAATCACATGATATCACTTGTATGTGGGATATAAACCTAAAAGCAACAAATGAACAGGACAAACAGAGACTCAGGGACATGGACAATGGACTAGTGGTTACCAGAGGGTAGGGAGTAGGGGAGGAGGGGAGAAGTAGACGGGATAAAGGGGGTCAAATATAGTGGGGTTGGGGGAGGGTGAAGTGGGTAAAGGGGATCAAATATATGGTAGCTGAAGGAAACTGGACTTTGGGTGGTAACTACACAATAGAATATATAAATGTCAAATTATAACATACACCTGAAAATTGTATAATTGTATTAACCAGTGTTATCCCAATAAACTTAATTTTTAAAAAAATAGAAAAAAATAAATAAATAAATCTAGTTAAAATTTCCGATAACAAACATATACCACTTATGAAATAATAGACTCTGGTACACTTTGCAGATACCCAGAATTTGGTAGGACAGTTGGTCAGTTGGATTTAAATTCAAAGAAAAAACAAGCCACATAAATGTAGCAAAAACAGCAGCCCTCCCCATCATATGTACATTTGTATTAGTCGGCTCACGCAGCCATAACAAAATATCACAGACTGGAGGGCTTAAGGAACAGATATTTACGTCTCACAGTTCTGGAGGCTGGAAGTCCCAGATCAGGGTGCTGGTGTGGTGTGGTTCTGGCTTGCAGGTGACGCCTTCTCGCTGCATCCCCACCTGGCAGGAGAAAGAGAGCTCTGGTGTCTCCTTTTATAAAAAAACTAATCCTATTGGATCAGGCCCCCTCTCTTATGGCCTCATTTAACTTTAATTACTTCCTTACCCCAAATATAGTCGCACTGGGGATTAGGACTTCGGCATATGAATGGGGCGGGGTGGGGGCACATACATAAACATTCAGTTCTTAACAACACTCCTCCTGAAATGACCAACTTATCCCAGTTCGTCAAGAACTTTCCTAGTTTTAGCACCCCAAATGCTGGGATATCCTCCCATCCAAGGGGAGGGAAACGAGGATGGTTGGTGATGTGCATTTACCTGCTAACCCTCCCAGGAGTGGTCCAGGAGCAAGGCTGCCCCTGAGAGATCTCATGATAGGTCCAATCTCTTGATAACTTCTGATGCTCAGCGCAACCCAAGCTCTTTCCTGGAATCGCCAGCACTTTAAGCAACGCTGACTGACTGTTCTTCCTAGAAAGACACCTTCTCACAGCCTATCACCATTTGCATTTCAGAGTAAATCCAATCCATCAAAAAAGACTTACTGGATGCTTCTTTGTACAGTACAGTACCAGACATGGCTGTAGACATTGAAGTATGAGAAAGTGTTCCTGTCCTCAAAGAATTTATTTGTGAATAGAATAAAATTCTTTATGGAAAAAAGGTCAAGCAATAATAAAATAACATGACAGCACAAGCATTAAAAAAATCACAGGGCAATATGATTAACTGCAAAAGAGTTTTTAGGAAAAGAATGGCTTTTAGAGTCAGGAAGTTTTGGAGAGTTTTTACAAAACAAAGGTAGCGTGTTTAATGATGTGCCACCATTGGTTGAACAAAGCAGAGGAGAGGCATGGATGTCACTTTAGACAATTTTCCAAGCTTTAAAATTGTGAACACAGGCTTTCAAGCAAGACACAAAGAGCCCCAATGTCATTGCCGCTGTGAGCTACTGGTTGGAAAATTTGTCAAAATGTCCATTCCCTCAGCTGGAAAATTGAGATAATCTACCTTTATCTTGGAGCCGGTTCAGAAAATCTCATAAAATGAGGCTCATATCACTTACCGCATTACCTAGCATATGTCAAGTACTCGATAAATAATCGCTATTATGATTTGTGTAATTATTAATATGATTATGGCGTGTATTATTTCTTCTTTCCTCCACACTTCACAGCGGCTCTAATCTGGAAAGCCTGGTGCAATTCGAATTTTATATTAAGTCACAAATGCCGCTTCACTGTCCCTGTAGATTTAAAAGGAGCAGAGGAGTTTTGTGTGTTCTTGTCTAAATGCATTTCATTCAAAATGCTCTTCATTTGAGATTGCTAAATTAAGGTCATGTGTAATGCAAAAATTAGTATGACCAGCAATGCATTTAAATTATGTTTGCAATCTTGTCCCACCCCCTTGACTATTGTGTTAGTTCTCTATGCTGCATAACAAGCTACTCCCGAAACGTACCGACTTAAAACAGCATCTGTTTATTATCTCACAGCTTCTGTGGACCAGGGATCCGGGCAAGACTTCATTGCATCCATTCACGTCAGGGTCTCTCACGGGCTGTAATCAAGAAGTGGCCTGGGCTGTGGCCATCTTATAGCTAAAAAGACGAGGGGGGCGGTGGGAATCTACTTGTAAGTTCATGTGATTGCTTTCGAGATTCAGTTCCTCACAGACAGTTGAACCTGGGATCTCAGTTCCTCACCACTGTTGGCTGGAGGCCACCCTCAGCTCCCTGTCATGTTGGCCTCTCCATCATGGCGGCTTGCTTCACCAACTTGTTCAAACTGAGAAGGCAATAGAGTCTACTAAACAGCCTGGAAGTCACAATTCTTTGTAACCTATTCATGGAAGTGGCATCTGCTCACCTTTTCCATAGTCTGTTGGTTGAAAGCAAGTCACTAGGCTCAGCCTTGCTCAAGGGGAGAGAAAAACATAAGGCCGCGGGACCAGAAGGAGGTGACCACCGCAGGCCATCTGAGACGCCTGCCTGCCACAGCTGTCTCTTAGAGGCTCTCAACTGCAACTTGACTAAAACAAAGCTGAATAACACCAATAACAATGAGCAACACACTTATGCCACAGAATGCACAGGGTCAAAGAAACAATAGGCAGGAGTGTGTGCCTTCCTCCTGAGGTAGCCATCCCGCTGATTTGTAGTATTAGTCAGAACTAGCCTACTGTGCGGTTTCCTACAACACAGCATGTTCTACTTCCTTAAAACTGTATTTTGTACCTTTAGTATAATCTGAGTAAAGTTGGGTTTGGCTGAACTGAGTCTTACTAATTTGAGGAGTATCACAAGTGTTGTTGAAAGCACCGTGATCAAGAGAGCATGTCCTCCTGGAAACTGGGGAAAACTTGTCCCAAGTCACTGCAAGTAAATAAATTAGGTTATATGTTTTGGGCCAATGACTTAACCTCTGAACCTCAGTTTCTTTTCTGAAACATAAGTGCTGTGCCAGATCATTTCTCAGGCTCCTTCCAGCTCCAAAATGGCTCCAAGATTTTACAATTAACTGTTAGCCACAGGCTGCTGGGTGATAAATCCAGAAACCACCTACCAAGGAAGGTACAGCCCCTGGGAGTGAAAACAGAGGGCAATGTGTAACTCAATTAGCCACAGGCTGCTGGGTGATAAAGAGCCTTTGCTCAAATCCAGAAACCACCTACCAAGGAAGGTACAGACCCTGGGAGTGAAAACAGAGGGCAATGTGTAACTCAGAGTTTCAACATCTTCATCTGCAAAGCAGAGCTGAGTTTTGTCCCTCATTTTGCCACCCAGGAAGCTAATGAAAATTATCATCGCCTTTCAGGGATTGAATGAGCATCTGGCAACAACAGAGCACATCAAACACTGCTAAAGACCCAAGCGGGGAGGGAGCAGAGGGAAGGGCTGGTAGGTATTTCTAATGGAGATGGGCACTGAGCCAGTGGGACATTCTCCCAAGAAGACCTGCAGACTGGCATCAGTCAGTAACGGGTACACGACAAATACTCATTGACTGAATGAATAAGAAAGCTATTCCATTTTCTGTATGCTGGACATGACGTCTGTTGTCTTTCCGGTGCATATTCACAAGTAGCCAAGTATGTAAGAGGCGCAAATATCCTTTGGCATATGTCAATGCCCATTGACTCACTAAACCGAGAACTGCCATGCAAGCCTATAAGAAAGAACCGTCTTCAGTAAGTGGTGAAGTTGGAACTGGTACACAGGAAGTGAGATTAAGAAGAAGTTTAATGTTACCAGGCTACAACCTCTAGACTAGAGACAGTGGCATCTATTGGGGTCCTTAGCACTTAAGTTCTTGGCTACACTCGCTTTCCCTAGACAGTGCTTAGATGGGTGAGCCCTGTCTGCCTTGTGACTCTCCTATTATCAGAGTCTCCAAGCAGGCGGACCCTCCCTTCAGAAGGCCCAGGTTATCAGATAGTGGGTGAAAGAATGCTTTCGCTGGGTAAGAGGGTCCTAAGAGCCATTTTGTCTTTTTAAAGACTCCTTTCTATAATATTATTCTAATCTCATATCAGCTGATTTTGGAGTTTAACTCTCCTTGGGAAATCTTTTTTCTCAAGTTCTAAGGGAACAGGAAACGGTAGTCCCCAAGTGCCAAGAGTACCACTGGCGATTCAGCACCGACAGTGAGCCGGCCTTCTGAGCAAGTCTGAGGTCTTTTATGGGTCGCAAAACCAGAAAACAGGAATCAAAGCACAGGGACCCTGTAATGTCCCCTTCTCCCAGCTCAGAACATCTCATTGATAAACGGCTCCATTTGGCAGCAAACATGGAAAGAGAGCAAGACAGCGATCTTCAGGCATAAAATGTATACAGAGTCGAAGTGTGGCCACGCATCCAAACGATCCCATATTTGAGCTTTCTCTATAATGAAAAAGAATCTATATGAAAAGGGTAAAAATATATTTTCTCCTCTCCAGTTTAATTAGACTTATAATTACTTTTCTTAAATGCACATAAGCAATAACAGCTAATGTAAAGTGGATCTCATAATAAAATTTTCATAGGATGTCTTTTTTTTTTGTCTATGAAATTACATAAAAATGTGTCTGATCCTTTTGTTGGGACCATTTGCAAGCCTGGGGGCAATTACACAAAGTGTATGGGAGTCAGGGGCACACATCCCCTAATGGCAGCTTGGCCGTGAGCCAGGCTTTAAGTCAAGCCTCAGGGAATTCCAATTTAAAAGTCAGCTGCATTAGAGGGAGTGATTCAGTTTGGAGAGGAGATCGCCTTTCGTGATTTATTCCACCCGGGGCTTTCAGTCCATTTAAAACATGACCTAGTCGAGTTGCATCTTTGAGGGAACAGGCCCGCATAAAATGAGGTGAACCAACAGTGACCAGAAAGGAGAGACTTGATTAGAGTTTGAATTATGTGAAAGCACACAGTTTTCTTTAGACATCCATCTTTAAGTACCCCAGAATCTGCAAAAAGGAGCTACATTTTCAACCGTCGATATGAAACTTGTGACTGGTGGGTCCGTTATTGCCAAGTATTTTTAAGGTAGTAATTCCTTAGTGAAAAGTAATCATTTAGTATTAAGAATAAACAGATGATTTAAAATATTAATATTACTGGTACTTACGATCTATGAGAAAGCTCTGCTTATCCCAAAAAAGAACTCTGAATCTTCCTCCTCTGTGTAACCCCGAAGAATTTTCACCAAGACTTCCGATCTTAGGAATTATCACCAGTTTCCTCGGGTGTATGCCTCTGATGTCTTTTGTCTCAGCTGGAGATATATGAGTGAATCGGTAAATCTTTTCAAAATATATATATTCTTTAATACTCAATTTTGATTTTGAGAAAAAAATAGAAGTTACAGTTCTATTTAGAATAAAGTCACTTAGAAAATAATATTTCTGTAAAAAAAGAAATCTACCTATAAATGTATTTTTCTTACTAATATATTTGGTAGGATAAAATAACACCATGAACTTCGAGTCCATTTCCCACTAGTGTCTTCATTTTTCTATTTTATTGCATTCCGCAGTGGTTTTGCAACCAGCTATATCAAGAGTTTCCAAGAGGAATATAAACAAAGCCTCTGCGGTGACTCAGGCTAAAACACATGAATATGACTGGGGAACAAATATCTCTCCGGAGCTATCCCAAGATCAATGGTTGTGCTAAATTCCAGATCTCAGCCAAGTTCTTTCTGGCAAATACATCAAGTAATAAAATCTACCTACCAGAAAGGAATCAGAAAGACTCTTCTACCTTTAGGAAAACACCAACTCCATCCCCATACTAAACTTGTAAGTAGTATAGTTACCATCTTGTGTCGACACGTGATGAGAAAACATTCTGTGATGTAATCGCAGCTTTTTCTCAGGGTTCTATGGCCTCTCCTGCAACTCAGGTATGGTACTCTATTTTCACTGCCTCAAGAAAGGGATAACGAGGGTCAGCGTCACTCATTTGTTCATCTATTATTTTTCTCGACAATATTTATTGAGCACCATCTGTGTGAAAACACTGCCCTAAGCACTGAAATAATCTTTATCTTCATAGACTTTTACATTCTAGTGAGGAGAAGTCAATGCACAAGCAAAATTTTTAAAAAGGACCAGCTACGGAAAATGCCGTGAAGAACAACAAAGCCAGATAACAGAATGAAGAATAAATGATCCAGAGGCAGGCTGATATCCTCAGCTTTAGAATTTCAAAAGCCTGGGTCCAGGCTTAAAAAACCTTAGAAGCCATATTCAAACAGAGGCTATTTTTTTTTTTTTCCTCTCTCCTCAAGATGAGATGACGTTTGCTCAGGTGAGAAAGAGGAGAATAAAAGATTCAGAGACAAGGAGAACTCGAAGCCGAGAAGGCGCACTGGGTCCTGCTCCCCTCTCCTTCCTATCCCCAAAAAGGACACATAGACTAGGAATCTAGACCTACTTCCTGGAAGGGCCTAGACAGGTCTTGGAAAAATAGGGGGACCCCAGATTTGACTGACAGTGTGCCAGCACCGTGAGGGAGGAGCAGAAGAATGGGATGGTTACACAGGCAGGAGGTAGATCCAGGCAGCCTATTAGATTAACAGCCAAGAAGGCCTGGAAGAGGTACAATCTGAATGAACGAAAGACCAAAAAGCAGGCAGGAATGAGTGTCCCCAGCAAAGGGTGATGTGGATTGAGGATGGGAACAGCCAGACTCCTCTGATCTCCACTGGGGAAAGAAGCAAAGCTGGAGACTATGTTCAACCACCAACAGCCAATGATTTAATCAATCGTGTTTATGCAATGAAACTAGGATTAAAACTCTAAAATGACAAAGCCCAGGAAGCTTGTGGCTTGGTGAATGCATCCACCTGCCAGTAGGATGGTGCATCCTGATTGCATGGGGACAGAGGCCCCAACACTTGGAATCCTTCCAGACCTCTCCGTCTAGCTGTGCACTGTATCCTTTGTAATAACTGTAATCTTTCCCAAGTTCTGTGAGTTGTTCTAGTAAATTATTGAACCTGAGAAAGCATCACAGAAACCCTCAAATTTGTAGTCATCCAGGCAGAAGTACAAGTAGCCTGGAGACCCCATGTCCAGCTGGTGTCTGAAGTGGGGGCACTCTTGTAGAACTGAGCCCTTAAACCAGGGGGTCTGTGCTAGCTCTGGGTAGTTAGTATCACAACTGAATTGAATTGTTGGACGCCCAGCTGGTGTTGAAGAATCAGTCGCTGTTAGGAAAAAAACACACAAGAACACATTTCAATTCCAGAATTGCTGTCCATCTCCACTGCTGCCATTCTACTCCAGCCCACCTTCTTCTCTCTCCTGGACTTCCCTAGGTCATAGGCCCCTCACTATTCTTTTCGCTTCTCCAGTTCACACTCTACCAGCATTGAAAAATATAAATCGCCAAACCAAAAACTGTACTCCTGCAAGTCAATGCAACTGTCTTTACCTGGTTATCACAACTCGGTTCTGAAGTGTTGCAGAAAAATCTACCTCTTTCAGACTGTGGATGAAAATAGCTGTGAAAAAAAAATGATACTGGTATCTTCTATTTGTGCTGAAACATACTGCTTTATTTTTACAGCCCGTGTCTTTCATGAAGATCCAAATTATTGAGGCAGTCTTGTTTTGCTTTTCAAAGACATTTTGCAGAGATTTGTCACTAATGTGAACCTGGTTTTATCTACTCAATTCCGTATAGATTAAGTAAATACATATAATAAATTTTAAAAATATATATAAATCACAGTATGTCACTCCTTACTTAAAATCTTCCATTGACTTCCTATCACACTTGGAATAAAACTCCTTCTGGCTTTCAAGGCTCTCTGTGATCTGGCCCCTGTCTACTTACAGAACCTTATCACGTACCACACCCTCTTACTCATTTAAGTCCTTTCCAGGTGACCTTCTTTCTGGTTTTCTGCTTGTTAAATCTACCACTCTTTTTCTTGCCTTGGGGCTTTATGCTTAATACTTTCTTAGCCTGATGTGTTCAGCCCTCCTCTAAGAGACCAGTCTGAGCGGTTATTCAGAATTCAGCTCAGAGATGCCTTCCTGGACCACCCAAATGGGGATAGAGATTCACCATCGCAGCAGGCTGTTCTAATTCCCTTCATTCCTCATCAGCATCTGACACAGTTTATGTTTATCTATCTGCTTATTGTCTAACTACAGCCACCAGAATGTTAGCTCCATGAGATATGGGACCTGGTCTGCCTTATCCATCACTCCATCGCAAGTGTCCAAAACAGGGTCTGACCCACTTGGCCGACTGATGAAGATTTGAAGACTGAGCAGCAGACGAAGAAAATCTTCTTCACTCAGGAGGTGAAAAAGACAAGGGGCTTCCCAAAGGCTGATTTGACTGAGCAGATAACAGCAGAGATTACAATTACTCTCCGCTAATTCCGTGCTGTAGCATCTGACTGTGATAAGGGCTCACGCTGGGACTGAAACTATTTCAAGGATTTGCCCCATGAAAAGGGCTGTTTATTAGAGCATCAGCAAATATAAACAACTTTTATAAAACCAAACAGGAGGGCCAGCACCAAACAAGGTCACTGGCAGGTTTTCTTGCTCAGTACAGTGCTTTCAGCTGCTGTTCCCATGAAAACCATTCATTCTGCCAGGCAGTCAGCCTCCTGTCTCCTTGGGCACTAATTGCTCTGCCTGGTTAGGCAATTTAAGCAAACGCACCACTCACAACATGGCATAAGGGAAGGGGAGAGAGGAGGTCTGGCTTTTCAAAAGTACAAATTGTTCTGATAAAAAGAAACCACAGAAAATTATTTCAAGAGAAGAGAATGCTTCTAAGTAGGAACAAATGCCTCATCTGAGACCAAGAAGGGGCTTCAGTCTTCTAACCTCCGTGTTCTCCAGAATGTTCTAGCGGGAAATGGAGAGTTATGGCATTTCTCGAATCTGACATCTGAAATGGTAAAGCTTTTCCTTAAACAGATTTGATTGCCATCCTCTGGGTCTGCTTGCTATTTAAAAGCAAAGATACAACTTCATGTACGATTTCCATATAAATATGGCCAGGAGCTAATGCCAGTGATTAACTGTATATTTTGTCTCTGCTCTAAATGAATCCATCCCATAAAGGACATCTCGAATTTCCACAGGGAAATCTATGTACAGCGTGTAAAATAGCCATAGCGTTTTATCCAGTAATTCTACAACCAGAAATTCATTCTGAAAGGAAACAATAAGGAATGCAGACAGGGATTTAGTCTCAGCAATGTTCAAAATCCTAAAACATTCTAAACGAGCAAAATGTCCATCAACAGGGAAATAGTAAAGAAAAATTATTGAGCAAGACTGTGCTGGAATGTTATATAGTCGTTAAAAATTATTTTTATAGGGAACTTTTAAAAGCACACTTGTGCTTTAAAGAATTCCACCATGCCCTCAAAGGTTCACAGAAATACCGGTTAATCCTAAAGAATTTCTGGATTCTTCATATCCTTTCTTTTTCTTTTTATTTCTTCTTTTTTTTTTTCTTTTTTGAAATCAGAGGTGCTGACATACCATGGTGTTAAAACAGAAGTTGGTTGGAGAGGAGAGTGTAAATCTACACACACACACACACACACACACACACACACACACACAATTCTCCTGTCCTTGGAAGAGAGGAAGTATGGCAGAGTCAGAGTTTTGAATGTTTCTTCCTGCCATCTGCTGAATCTACACTTTTAAGCTATTTCTTAAGCAGCTGCCAGACAGCTGTTTCAGCCTCCTGAGATAGGTAGAGTGTAAAAAAAAGAAAAAAGAATAAAAACTCTGCAGAGGCTTCCGCACCATCCAGACTCTAGGTAGTGTTATACTATTTAACATTGTGGAGACAATCATATTGATTTTCTTAGGTAGGGATCCATCTTGTTTGGTAAATGCTTAGGTAAGCTGGCCTGGTGGTTTATCAGGGCCGATCTACATTGCCAGTCTATGAAAGGGGAAGTTGCGGGTAGGGTGTCAGTTAGAAGCCAAGTGGATGAAGGATAAGGAGAAGTCTGGAAGGTGAAAGATTTTGAGAGACAGCAAAACTATCTCATCAATCTCTCAAATATCTCTCTGTAGTTCAGGCAAAACTAAATTTACTAGACTTCCTGGAATCAAGGAGCACAATCCTTGACAGAGCTGAGCAAGTATCTCAAAATGGGGAAATCGAGGAACCAAGCGTATGGAGTTTTGAAGCCTGGGTGTTTTTTAGGTGGGTCTTGCAGGTGGGGAGCTGGTTGGGACTGACTAGAAGTTATAACAAAATAGCTATGGGATGATGGGGGCAGTGAGGTGAGGATTTAAAGAGAGGTCTGGAGAGCAAGCTACTCAGTGGTTCATAGCCTTCCAGGAGCAAGTATTTTCTAGAGCCGGTAGCTAAGAGTTCCGTTACTTCGTTTTGTTTCACCAGGTTGTTTTAAGTGGTGTTTCACGTACAGACGGGAAAATTTACCTGACCCCAGTTAACGCAAGGACAGGAAAATATGTTTGGTCCAAGTATTGTTCAACACAGAGATGGGGAATGACAGTAGTTTCAGTCCTTGGAGAAATTTAACATGATGACTGGCTGTGTAATTGACCCCCTCTCCTGCTGTCTCCCTGGAAGCCTTTGGCGAAATCTGCCTTGCTTGTTCACCCTTCGCCAAGTGCTCTCTTTGCTGGCTCTAAAAAACATGGTACCCGGTTTCCAGGTTGGTGTAGTTACCAGAGATTGCGTTTTGAACCCTCGCTTTTGTGGGGTGGTAGCCTGCCTTCTATCACCATATGTCCAGTGCCTAATGCGATACTTGGCATACGTAGTCAATAAATAAGTACTGGAGGGGAAACCGTGAAAGAATGTGCTAAGCAGATCATAAGTGATGGAAGCGATAAGAACGCAAAGGAAGTAACACTTACTGGGTTTCAAAGTAGCGAGAGAGCATGGCA